GGAACTTGAATAAGACAAGTGTAAGAGAAAAGTCCAGAGTTGTTTATTTGTCAATAGGCTGAGTTTTTCCGAATTATTCGATAATATTGCGCTTATGTTAAACGTGAGAAGATTATGCGTCGTTGTGGATAGTCTTATCAGTGCCTCGAAAGTGTGTGATTTCCGCATAGTGATGACAGGTATGTGATCGCGTGGTTGAACTGCGGTTTGGCCAAAATGTTCTCTGAAAGCCATTAATATTGTTTCGTCGGTGATTAGCTTAGCTGTTTGTACCTTGGGAAAGCAACTCTCCACTCAGGAAAATTGGATCTAGGTCTAGTTTCAGCGGGCTCTAATAGCATTGAGCCATAGGCCGGTTTTTTGCAGATAAGAAGGTGATGAATTTGTGCACTGTGTTTCATTCAGTTTGTCGTCTATTCTATGTGAAATCCTATTGTTTATCGGACCGCGAAAAAAATAGTGTTTTGCTAACTATTTAAGTTGTTATGTGAGCCCATAGTTATTAGAGGAGACTGGCACTCTTTCGCTACAGTTCACTCACTTAAAAATTTCTAGACTGAAGAGACACCGGTTTGAAACTCCGCGAAGTCAGATTTCGCCCCATGTAGGGGAATCCATGACAGTCTTGGCATTTCGTTTTCGTGTTCGAATCTTGTTATATTGAAAGACGTTGTTTAGAATGCATAACAAGTTTGTTTTCTTTTTCGATTTATAAATTACGTGAAGAAATGTTTTACTGCTCCGTACGGGTTTAAGGTATGATAATGAGGGGGACATTGGAGGACTGTCCACACCGCAACACCGCGGAAAAAATAACAAACATCGCATCACGGCAAAAAAACGTGGCGAAACACCGACATCGCAATTTTAAATTTTGTCCTTCGATTAATCTAGTCCAAATCTCCATATGATTAGGGATCGAGGATCTCGGAGTTGGTTTAGTGATTAGTAGAGAGTGAGACTGACCTCAAGACTCTATTTTTCACTTACTCTATTTTTGCGAACTCTATTTTCAGTCATGCAGATAGAAAAATGCCTAATTCGCGGAAACAAAAGAACTCTTGCAAATCATTCCTAAATATTCACGTTTATTCATTTGATTGCTGCATAATAAAGTATTGGGAAAGGTACAGTCATTGCCAGGGAAAATCGAGCTGCAATTTGCAAGAAAACGGCCTAACAAAGTTTGTGTGTAACTCCAAATCAATTTTTCTTATCTATGCCATATCATAAACCAGCGAAGGTTAATCAAGTATTTTGCTATCCACCAATAATATAATAGAAGGTTCATTTTGTTTGTATGTCGTTACATTCGTAGTTTTCCTTGTCCTGTCCGAACGCCTGGAACAGGCTACGTTGAAACATTTTGGCAAATTCTTTTGAAACATTAAAACAGTATTTCAAAGTAATACATGTAGAACTGAACAAAACGTTAAAAGCCGCCAATCGCTAATCATCTCCAAACTATCACGAAGAAAAGCTTGGTTTCTTAACATGGTTTGCACATTGTTTTTCCTTCTCTTTCTACTTTTTATTGGAATCATTTTCACAGCGCAAAAAACTAAATTCGGTTACCGCCTCTTTTGTAAAACTTTGATTTATAGAGACACAGTAAGCTGTAAAACACACGCATTAGATATCACTTCTTAACCGAACTGCTTTCTCACTTTCTCGTAAGACATGAATTTTAGCCAAATACAATAAAATGCACTTCTCCTACGAAGGGATAAGCATATATACTCAGTAAAAGATTGACAATTAAAAAGAGCACTACAGAAGATTAAATTGGACTTCAAGCTGACAAAAGTGGTGTCCTGGTCAGCGCGGCCCTAAAGTGACTAAAGTTGACTGTGTCACATAATTGTCTAGGAATGATAACATGGCTCAAAAAAAAAAAGTCAGACAGTGGCCGGACCACGTTGATCCACCAAATAAATTTTTACGCTGTCACGTCTCGACGTTTTTGACTGGTCAAAATAAAGAAAAAAAGTTAACTCTTGACAGTCTACAAGCCCAAGACTATCAGTTACTCGGTCTAGTCGTTGCAGGACCATTTAAATCGAGTTCAAAAAGTGGCTTAGTAGACAAAACGGCTCAAAACGTAGTCAAAGATAGCCTGATTTGCCCGCGTTCAGTCAAAACTGTACAGCTGAACTTGTTTGTTCTTTATTGACTTACGCTACGCAAGCATCCTTGCTGGACAGCATGCGAGAGCAAACCACCCCCTCCCCCCTCGCCCTAGAGGTCAATGAAATCCCTAATCTCCTACCCAGATCTCTTGTTGACGAAGCCAAACTGAGGGTAGATCTGGCCCGAGTTGTGGCGTTGAATTTGATGTTAAAAAGATAAAAAAGAACACAAAAATTAGTTGGTTCATACTTAAGATGTGCGCATAACCACGTTTTGATAGAAAAAAATTTCACGGCTCTATCAAATTCGTTGTTTAACACGTTAAAAATTGAGGATTAATTTCAAGCATGCGCTCTTTCATGGCCTGTCACATTCCTGACAGGCAATCACGGGTACAAAATCGGATTTGACCTTATTGACCAGATCTCGCTTTTGGCTTCATCAATAAGTAAGAGATCTGAGTATGAGATTACGAAA